TGTGTTATTTATTAAAAAACACCTAAGATAGTTGTATTTTGATAGGACTAAAGAAATATTGAAGTACAAGTAAATTATATATTTGTATGAAACTTTACCGGAAAAACCCAAAACAACTCGAAAATCCGAAAAAACCCGACGTTGAAAAACCCGAGTTTTATTGGTTTGGTTTATAAAATAAATTTAAAAATCCGACACAAATAGTTTGGTTTGATATTAGAAAAACCCGAACCAACCCGGCCATGTACACCCCTATTCACAACTATCCTTCATCAAAATATAACTATGCCTAACATCTTAAAATTAATTGCAAGTCGAAAATAAAAATGTTGGGCTTGTGCTCAACATAGCCCGGCCTAATTTGTAATCCTCCCTTAAACTTCACCGCTTACGACTGCTGTGCTGATTACCGATTATGGTGTCATCAAGATCATACCTCAATAATGAAATACTAGTCGATCACAGCTTAATTCATTTTCCTGATAAATATCATGCAAAGAAACAAGAATACAGTCTTTCTTCTTGTAAAATGGCAAACTGAGGTCTCATAAACACGTTTATACAGTTATATTAATAGTTCAGGGGTATAATATAAGTGAATGCTGAAATTTAAAACTTGCTGAAGGTGACATTCCTTTGAAACATACTGAAAAGAAAAGTAAGACACATAAATTAAAATAAAGGAATACTATTTATTGTGACATAGTATTATGTCTTCCTTTCATCCTCTTCCTAGGAGGTCCTGGACCAGACATTTACAGTCTAAAGCGTCACAAATCCAATTTAACCCAAAATAGTTTTGTAAGGTTCTATTCAACAACAACGATACCTCAATCAAAAAAAGTTGCAGCGAACTATATGAATCCTCACCGTAAATTTCTTTGTTTCAAATTTTCTCATTGTTGAAAGGCTTTTCCCTCCCTCCAGCTGCGCTTGTATAGAACAAGTAAACTGTTTCACAGTAATTTTCTTATTCAAACGGGTCATTGATCTTTGTAGGGCCTTGCATGAGAAAGATGACCGGCGCATGTCAAGAGCAAAATTTTTCCTCATTGCATTGATATGCAGCTTTTGCTGGTATTTGGTACCAGGATATCTATTCTCAACACTCACGAGCATCTCATGGATCTGCTGGGCATTCTCCAAATCAGTGACAGCTCAACAAATTGGATCAGGCATGAGGGGCCTTGGAGTTGGAGCTATAACCCTAGATTGGTCTGCTGTGGCATCCTTCTTGTTCAGCCCCCTCATCTGCCCTTTCTTTGCCATTGTCAACATCTTTGCAGGGTACATGTTGATAATATACATGGTGATCCCAATAGCATATTGGGGATTTGACTTGTATGGTGCTTCCAAATTTCCCATTTTCTCATCGCACTTATTCACATCACAAGGTCAGAAGTACGATATATCAGCCATTGTGAATGACAAGTTTGAGCTAGATATTGGCAAGTATGAGGAGCAAGGGCGGATACATATAAGCATGTTCTTTGCTCTCACTTACGGTTTTGGTTTTGCTACTATAGCATCTACTCTTACACACGTGGCACTGTTCTATGGAAGGTAAAACACACTAACTGTCAAGCCACAGTACTACTATTTTGTCAAATTGCTCCTAGTGTTTTACAATCTTGAGTCGAAGTTGAGAAAAACTATGCTTTTTAAAAAATAGAACTACATGTCTGTCTTATCATCCCAAAATTAATAATGTGTGGATTAATTTTACATTTCTTCAAAATTTTGACGACTCAATTGCTACATATATAGAGCTGTTTAGCAGCAAAGTTTCTACAATTTAGTAGAACTATGAATAAGTTTAAGAATTGCTTATTAATAAGCTACAACAATGGCGGTTAAGGATTGTATTTATCGTCCACTTGCAATGTGTAGGGAAATATATGAAAGATTCCGAGCTTCATATAAGGGAAAGGAGGATATTCATACAAGACTAATGAGGAAATACAAAGACATACCTTCATGGTGGTTCAATGCATTGCTTCTGGTGACACTAGCAGTCTCCCTAATCCTCTGCATTTTCTTGAATAACCAAGTCCAGATGCCATGGTGGGGGCTTCTATTTGCAAGTGCTATTGCTTTTATCTTCACGCTTCCAATCAGCATAATAACAGCCACAACAAACCAGGTGATAAAGCACACACATTTACACTTACATTTAGCACCACAAGCATGTCTTGCCTATCAGATTAATTAGCATGCTTGAACTGTTTATCCTGCCAAAATATAGGCTATTAGCATCGAGCTTCAAACGAAATCTTAATGTACTATTGTTGGAAGCTCTAAGTATTACTAAACGACCATCATTCACTCTTTGTTTAACATACCAATATGCAAGTGCCGATCAATGTCTGATACCTTAAACTAGTTGGATTTATAGAAATAATAGATCCAAGATCATCACCCTTGTTATTTCAATAGAGTTCTTTCCAAGCTTCTTATTTATGATGCTAATTTGCAGACCCCAGGTTTGAACATAATCACTGAATATGTCATGGGAATAATACTACCAGGACGACCAATAGCCAATGTGTGCTTCAAAGTCTATGGATACATGAGTATGTCACAGGCTGTCTCTTTCCTCAGTGACTTCAAACTGGGCCACTACATGAAGATCCCCCCTCGATCAATGTTCTTGGTTCAGGTATATTCACTTTATCATTTCTGCCAAAAAGTTGGAAATAAAGCAGTGATGAACTTGGCGGTTCTAGTATACAGCAAATATTAGCAGTAACAATTTCCTAGGTAGAGAGACCACAAGTCCACAATGAAGAAGCTTCTCCATGTCTTTAAGACATCCAGAATAGTCACCAGTGTCTTAATTCAGAGAGAAAACATGTTTTATGTGCCGAGATATAAATGACATTAAATGCAGACATTAGATCACTGCATAGATGTATAGAATTGAGCATCAATTCAATGAACTGAGTTTGCATTTCCAAACCCATCACTAAAAGCCCAATCTCCTCCCACCCCATTTTTGTATAAAAAAAATAAATCACGGAAAGCACCAAAAGGCATTTACCTCAATATGTATGTAGATAGTTGTCCACAATCAGATAAATGCTAAATTATGAGTGCAATGCTTATTAAAAGCAGCTATATAGGGTAGAATAAAATTGAGCATACAAGAAAAACAAGTAAATATGGAGAGTAAGGATTTCATAATCTATCAACATACACAAGAATTTAGCAATTTACCTTTCATCAGGATGTACTGAGACACGTTATTTAACTTAGTCAATTTTTTCCAGCAACTAGAATTTATCAATGTTCCAAACAACAGTAAATTCCAGCATAGAAGAATATTTTTCATTCTTGTTTGGTTAAATTCCAGTTTTTAGGAACAATAATTTCCGGAACTATCAACATATCTGTGGCATGGTGGCTGCTAAACTCCATCGAGAACATATGTCAAGATGATCTCCTTCCACCAAACAGTCCATGGACATGCCCAGGAGATCGTGTTTTTTTCGATGCATCAGTTATCTGGGGTTTAGTCGGACCTAAAAGGATTTTTGGAACCCTTGGGAATTACAGCTCCATGAACTGGTTCTTCCTTGGAGGAGCAATAGGACCTGTAATAGTGTGGCTCTTGCATAAAATGTTTCCAACACAATCATGGATTCCCCTGATCAACCTTCCAGTTCTTCTGGGAGCAACAGGTGCCATGCCACCAGCAACACCATTAAACTATAATGCATGGGTCATTGTCGGCACAATTTTCAACTTCTTCATCTTCCGATACCGAAAGCAATGGTGGCAGAGATACAACTACATTCTATCCGCAGCATTGGATGCAGGAGTAGCTTTCATGGCAGTCCTACTATATTTCTCGTTGGGAATGGAGAATAAAGGAGTGACTTGGTGGGGAACCAACGGGGAACACTGTAAATTAGCAACTTGTCCAACAGCCAAAGGCATAGCTGTTGATGGGTGTCCAACTAGATAAGTGGATATATTCAGTATAAACTATATGTATTTAAGGGACCAAAATAATCTCTATATTCTCTCAAGTAGTATTCAGAAGTTACACACCTAGATTTGAAAAATCATATTACTGCATATTGCTCCCACCTAAATTCTCTCTTGTAAGTAATGACAAACATTCTTGTAAAAAAAGATTGTTAACATCTTCTACAGTTCTACTGTGTATTCAACTGCAATCACATTTGCCTCTATCTTCCCCAATCTTGGTTATAGTAAAAAAAGGTCATGCAGTTACAATCTGAGAAGATGTTCTCTGAGACTGAAAGCCATTATGCATCCATCAGTCTGAAACGTGCACAAACACAGGAATACTAGTATGTGCGGTAGGGATGGCAAACGGGGAAGGGCGGGGCGGTAGCAGGGAAAACCGGCAAACACTTCAACCCACCCCGTCCTGCATAAACCTGCACCACCCTGCACAGTTTTCTATCCCTACAATTGTCACTGCCTTACTTTAATATTTTCTTTGCTAAGTAGTAATATTAATTTAATTTAGAAGTTGTTGTAAGATAAGAAAGATGGATTTCACTAATTTAAGGGATACATATGTACTCCATCCGCCCCAATTTATGTGGCATAGTTGGAATTTCGAGAGTCAACCAAGTTTTTTTTTGACCGAAAATTCATTATATGCCTTTAAAATATTTTACGTTGTTAATTTCTGTGATTTATAGTATATTTTACGTACTTTTCAAATATATAAATTTTATTCACAACACTTAAAGTTTCCATGTCTGAATTCATGGTAAAAGTTTAAAAGTTTGAAATTCCAATTGTGCCACATAAATTGGCAAATACTCCCTCTGTTTTCATTTGTTTGCATGCTTTTGACTTGACACGGCATTAAAGAAAGTAAAGAGGACTTTTGAATCTTGTGTCTTAAACTGCAGAATGTATCAAAATGTCTTTTAATCTTGTGATTTTAAACATGTCATGTGAAAAGTTAAAATTAAAGAGTTGCCAAAAAAGGTAAGAGGCATTCTTTTTGAAACGGATTAAAAAGGAAAATAAGACAATGTAATTTAAATGGAGGATGCACTAACAATTCATTATAGGTCTCTGCATCACAATTCAATTTCACTAAATTACAGACTATTCAAACTTTCCTAGTCAACTTCCAATTGGAAAAAAAAGAGAGAAAGATGTCCTTTCAACTAGCTGATGGTCCCTCCAAGATCTCATCCCTCTTCTTGCTCCTTTCTTGATGTACATTTTGTCTTTTTGCACTTCTGCATTCCCTTGATGCCATTTTAAGTATATACTACCTCTAATCTGCCTAAGCTAAATGATTACTTCGAGAACGCATCTATCTCACATAAACATTTAAAACGAATTCAATGATTCATATATGAGTTGGCTTAACTATGAAGAGGATGGAAATTCATATTGTACCCCATTTAGGATGAATGCACTGAGCGCCACTGGTTATACTCATCCATCCGAATTATAAATGAGCTAGAACTAGGAGAACCACCTCCACCATATGCCTGCATGTTTAAAGAAGCAAAGTATTTGTTGGCACGAAAAGTTAAGAGCATGAGTCTGTTTGTTTGTGGGAGGGTGAACGGGACAAGCATAGCTGGCAGCATAATTTCAAAGAGCTTAGTGGTGAGGAATATCTTCAAGATGAAGAGACATAAATAAATAAGTAAATAATCACAGAGACAAGTGAATCATGAAGCAGACCTTGGCAACTTCTGAAGTATCAGTAGCAGCATCGAAAGTCCTCAGACACATCTTGAGATTCTTCCGCTGAAGGTATATGACTGCTCCTATAGGCCTGGGGTATAATAGATTCAAAGTAAAAGCAGCAGTTACAAGTACTAAATTGTGGTAAAAGCAACAAATAACCTAAGGTGTGCTCTTTTAGCATAAAACTAGTCATGAATATGGATCATGAAGCTTATGATCTTTCTAGTTCGAAAGTGAAGTAATAAAAATGTCTCAATGCCCATGAACACGTTAGAGAAAAAAAGAAGATAAATAAGCATAAAAACCTGAGTCCAACTGAAGCGCTTTTCTTGCTTAGTTCCTTGCCAATTTCATCACTCAGGTCTGGATTGCCATCAGCTCTAACCCCCTAAAAGATAAAACAGAATTTAAATACTTCATTTAATTATCTTGAGAATGGGAAACAAAATTTACAATTATAACTGAAATAGAGTAATGTTGGCTAAGCATGAATAACCTGGCATATGGAAAACCTATAGAAGATTGAAAACAAGTCAAGCAGACAGTTGTATAACATGTTATCAAACATCTGAAACTAAATTCTTTAAATACTGACATACATTCAGCTGTGCTCTTCAAAGTATTTTTGAGTATTATGAAGTAAGTTGTCAATTCAAAAGAAAACGTCATAAAAGATTCTTCTTCTTTACCAAGCATTCACCATAAAGTCCTCTCCCCAGCCGAATTTTGAAAAACTTATCCAGCAACTTGTGTGCCGCAGCCAGTTTATTTGAAATATGGGAGTTCCCAGTAGCAATTAAATCACCAGTGCGGATCCCCATTAGCTGTTTTAAGGGGGAAAATATTAGATATACTCTACTGAGGGAAAACATTTTATGTAAAAGGGAATGCAACATGAACTTATTTAGATCAACTCCATATGAGCACAATAAAATGGAAAAACTACATAGAATCAAATGCATACTTTATTATCTTCAGTCTTTTATCCTAGACAACCAAGTGACCTCCCCCCCCACCCCATAACCACCACATCCCACCCCTAAGAGAAAAGCAAAAAATAACTGCGAACCTGTTTATACATATGTGGATTAGTGATGCAGTTCAATTTTGAACGCCACTGGTTAATTCCAATTCCAAAGGCCCTAATATCAGGCAAACTCCACCTGTGAAGATCTCCATCTTCTATATATTTTAGAACATTTTCAACTTGATCTTGAAAAGTAGAATTTAGCAAGCTGATAGCATCCCCCTGTGCTTTAAAAACACACATACATCACCACTTTAGGGCCAGTCGCTTTGAAAAACAATCTAGCTAAAAAACAAGTATTGCCAATGACAAACACAATAGAATGCACCTTATTGGATCCAACCTCTGAAAGTTTAGAAGAGAAATGTTCATAAACAGCAACTGAACTAGTTTTCTCGAGATTGACATGAAATGTGAGACTCCCACAAGAGCTTTGATTCAAAGGGATCTTGGATAGAGCAGACTTCCGGTGATCAAACCCAACTATCCTAATTTGATTTAAAAATCAATTCATGTCCCGTCTCCAACTTCCAGAATCATTATCAAAGTAAAAATCAAGAGAACAACCAGCATCTGAAGAAATTTATGCTTATTAATAAACAAAAAAAAGAAAAACTTACTGGCATGACGTCCGCTGAGCAAGCTCCTCTGCATATCCTTTTGGACCAACAAAATCAAGGAAGTAGCAATTTTGCAGCCCGTCAATACACAAGTCTTCAACTCTATCAAGAAAATTACAAAGGGAAAAAGAATAATCCATGTTCAATGCCAGACACGAGCTGAATAGAGAATATAAAAAACTATAGGATAAATATTACGAATTCTTTTCTTCTTTGAATATGTAACCTAACAGCTTTGCTTAATCAATCAACTAATAGTCCATCCAAAATAGTTAAGAGTCTATTACATGAATCCTCTGTTTGTCTCTGTTCAGGTAGTATTTGGATTCATACTATATTATGTGAAGCCTCCTTCTTTATTGCATTTTTCTACTGTGAAGAATTAAGAAAAACGTACCTGAAGGGTTCGACGGAAGAGAAAGGCAAGACGAGGTAAGGTATGTTGAGACGAGAGTGATAGAGGTGAGTGAAAAGCGCGGCAAAAGCCCCGGAAAATGAAGGATAATTGTAGAGGATGAGATTTGGGATTTTGTCTTCCGATGCTTTAGCCAATGCTTTCAATGCTGCTTGTGACCTGAAGCACCGGATTAACAGCGATGCTAAAGCATAACTCCCATACCGGAAAATTGACAACGGCATTACGCCGTCATAAGTGCGGCGAACTTGGACTGACCGGCCTGCGTTGTTTTTCAGCGACGACACGAACACAAGTGAAGCCGGGATGAGAAAATTATCAAAATGGTCTGTATGTTTTAAAGTAGGTTTAAAATATTCCCCGTGAATAGTTTATTGATAAATATTTTATCAAATATGTAAATTATTAGTATAATAAATAATTTAATAAATTCAGATTACATGTTAATTAATTATGATTAAGTGTTTATATTTTTATATATATACACATATATAGAATTCTATAAATTTGATGTAAATATAAGATACAAATTTTCTTTTACTATTCTTTATTTTTGTCAATTGCAAAAATATCTGAAATTCACAAGCGAGATCTAAGAAGCATAAAACATAAGCAAACTTTAACATTGAGGCAGTTTGAAAGATTCTTATTTTTGTCAAATATTTAATAATTTTTTTAATTGAATTTAACAAGAAAATGCAGTTTTTTGGGGACAATAATATTTTAAGTACACTAAGAGGGTGTTTTGATTGGCTTAAAATAAGTTACGAAATGTTTGACAAGGTAAAAAATGACTTAAAAATAAGTCAGAAACCAAAAGTAGGTCTCCCTTTATTTTTTATTTTTTGACTTAAAAATTATTTTAGTTTGACCTTTTATTTTTAATTTAAAAACTAATTTTTTAAAGTCAATTCAAACGGCTCTAATTTGCCATGTGGAAATTAAAATACACAACTTGTGTTGAAAATGTATATTTGTAGCTTTGGTGATATTTTAATTGTTTATCTCAATTTTATGATTTGAGGTATTTTAATTACATTCAAAAAATTTAAAAATAGATTATAATAATATTTTATTAGAAAAAATGAGCGAGGAATATAAAAACCGGTCATCGCCATCGGCATTTCAAGAGAATCTGAACGGATGACTAGAGGCCGGGTCTATAAAAATATGTTGCAATGACAAAAGTGCCCCTGTGTTGATATGCTTATAAAAACTTGTCTTTTTTCTTGATACGGAAGCCTTCTTTTCATTAATATTTTAAATCCAATGAACCTCCAGATATTTTCTTCTCTCTCCTCCTCCCTCTGTTCTACCAAATCACTGTGTGTAATGGTGGATACATTCTTTGTTTGTCTGTCTGTTTTCTTCAACTATCTCTCCTCTTCCCCTCTACATTGACGACAGGTACGCTTCTAAATTACATGCATTCTTAACGTACCATTGATTTATTCTTCTTGATTCAGTTTTCTCAATTTCTTGTTTCATGTTAACAATTCTTCTTCTTTCTGGGCTGTCTTGGAATCTTTTTTGGTGATGCAAGTTGTTTTTCAATAGATCAAGAAAGTAGTAGTAATTGATTCTTTTGTTCTTATAGCTACTTGTCCGTTTTCCTTAATATGAAACTCACTGCTTTATTTTAATAGTTTTCTAATGATTCTTAATTGCTATGGAGCTTTATTAGTTGTGTTTTTTTTCTCGTATGACTACATAGGTAATTAGATCATCTGATTATGAAATTTACTGCACCCTTGTTTTCTTGATATGTTTTACTTGAGCTGAGCGGGGTAAGGCTAAGGCTGAGACTCCACCTGTGGGATTATCCGGTGTTTTTTGTTGTAATTTTAGGCAGTGGTTTAATACACTGCATTCTTGTGTTTGATACTGTGGTGGTTATTGATTCTCTTGCTAATTCATGTTGAACTAAAAGAAACTTAAAGAAGCTGAAACATCCCGCCTTTTCTTTAATAACCTTCTACAATCTTGAACTCTGAATTTTCTTGAACATTCAGTTTTCTTGATTTTATGAATTTCTTGATTCATGTCATGTTAACAATCTTATTCTTTATGGGCTGTCTTGGGATTTTTTTGGTGATGCAAGTTGTTTTTCAATAGATCAAGAAAGTAGTAATTGGTTTTGATTCTTTTGTTCTTATAGCTACTTGTCCATTTTTTTTAACATGAAATTCACTGCTTTATCTTGAATAGCTTTTTAATGATTCTTAATTGCTATGGAGCTTTATTAGTTGTGCTTTTTCTTTTCTTTCCGTATGACTACATAGGTTATTAGATAATCTGATTATTAAATTTATCACATGCTTGTTTTCTTGATATGCTTTACTTGAGTCGAGGGTCTATCCAGAATAGCCTCTCTACCTTTACAAGGTAGGGATAAGGCCGAGCCCCCACTTGTGGGATTATACGTTGTGTTTTGTTGTTGTTGATTTTGAAATTTAATGTACTTAGGAGATATTTTAGGCTGTGGTTTCAATACATTGCATTCTCGTGCTTGATACTGCGGTGGCTATTGATTCTCTTGCTAATTCATGTTGAACCAAAAGAAACTTAAAGAAGCTGAAACATCCCACCTTTTCTTTAAATAACCTTCTACAATCTTGAACTTCGACTAAGTCTCAGGATTGTCAATTTTTATGCTCTTTATAGGAGAAGTGTTAGAAGCAAATGAGTTTAGGCACATTCTATATCTAGGGGAAAGTTGGGATAGTTTTGTTGTTTTTGTAATCATGGGCATGTCTTTGCATAGTTACTGATGTGATTTAATTTTTTACCATATCAAGCAACTAAAAGTCTAAAACTAGTGGATAACCTTTAAGCTGCCACAAATGTTGAAGCAAGTACTTGCGGATATTGCTTGATTTATCTGGTTCCTTCATAAACTTGATTATTGTGTTGGTCAGGAGGCCGATGATAAAATTTTGCTAGTTTTTCTCGATGTAGTTAGGTGGTTAACATATCACGCAACTATAAAGTGCAACAAGTTTGTTTTGTAATTATGGCGGAGAAGAACAAAACCAATTGGCTAAAAATGTACTTCAAATAACCCTATAATTGTGAGTTTGAGCCTCTTGGAGTGGTGGATATTTGTCAAGTTCAAATTTGAATGGGTTCCCAGATTTCTTTCATGTGGATTAGATTGGGTGGTTTAAGTGGAGTGTTGGTCCACTAAAAGGTCACTGTATCACTGTTGTGTGCTCTTTTTGAACATGAATCTCGAGGGCATCATCATGTTGGGGCTTCGTGACTGGTTCTCTGCCTGAGCATTGAAAGGATGAGCAGTGGAAGGATGACAGCTGGTAGTTTGTGTCCAGTGAATGGCAGAGATTTTTGGTTCATCCAACGTATAATCACGAGGAATACACTGGTTTTATTGAAAAGCTATGTTGGGTTGAAAAAGACTGTGTTGGGTAGAAAACCTAACTTCTCTTGCTCGCGACTCCTTTATCCTTCTATCTTATTTCCATTGATTTTTTTTATTACTCCCATCTCAAGGCATTGTCGCTTTTGATTCCCTGCTGGTTTCCCTAATGCTCGAATTAGTAACACTATCTCCCATTTACCAAACAGATCACATATCATAATATCCCATGCATACTCGTTCTAGTGAATCTTTCAACGTTAACTTGAAAGTACACACAACATTCCCAGCTCCGGCAAATGAAGTTTCTTCTTGTCAAGTGCTCAAGTAGTTCCTTCTATCATCGAGATAGAATCCCCATGCTCAAATGAAGGTTCTTCTTGCCTTTATTTTAATGGAAGTGATGTTTTCTTATTGTTTCACATTTTATTTTATTCCATATAAATTTCAGAAAAAGTTGTGCCAATATTAGTTATAAAACACGTGATACTAAACTCTTGCATAACCTTTGATAAAAAGGTAACTAAAATGCTGCATTAGTAATGTTGAGATTATATTAGTAAAGAAAAGTTCTATAACGTAAAAAAATGCTGTAAGTAATGCAGAGTTTTATACTGAAATCAATTTTCCTTATTCCTCAAATGTAACCACCGCTGCTGGTTGCTGTTAAACATACTTTTATAGATAAAGTAGCACTTTTTGAGTACATAATAAATTTTACTTGTCACTTTAAGGTTGCAAATGCTCACAGTACGTTGAATGAAATTCCACTAGATCTTGAAACTTTGAAACATTCAGAGTGTTATGCTTTTCTTTTTGGTGACTTCATTTATGTGATGGATGATGCCGATTTTTATGTGCCTTAATTCTTCTCACTTGGGCTTCCAAGCGTATACATCCACTTTTTATACTTTTGGATGCATTGCATTGAGCATGTATATGTTCTTATCATAAGTTGCGTGCAATGCTTTTATTATGTACTGTGAGCATATGCAACCTTAGTGTATGGATGTCCTTCTTGCTATTGGTCCTTCTGATATAGTATAGATGTCCCAAAAGGCAAAACCTCATTTGCTGGTGATCCTTTGCTATCTATTTGATCTGTCTGATCATTTTAGATTTACCTTTTGCTTTGCAGATGAATTTCCTAACTACATCAGCTGGACTTCTTTTCCTTCTATTTTTCTTCCTCATAGGTGAGCTGAAAACTTTGAAAAAATTTCCCTGTAATTGCACTCAACTCCCAGCCTAGGATTCAGTTAGCCAAATGTAGCAACTTGCTTGTATAGCCGTGTAGTGATTAGTCAATTTTCCCTCCTGGCTTAAGGTTGAGTTAACTAAAGTAAACTTGTCTAAGAGTAGTTAATTTCTGGTCTTTGAAAGTTGACCCTATTGTAGTCTCATGTCTGGAGCTAAAAGTCAATGTTCTTCTTAGTTTGAATTGGCTGACAAAAAGAGGTGTCTGATGAATTAGTATATCTTGTCCAACTTCCCGTTTTCACAGGGTTTCGGCGGCTCTTAATGTTTCACGTGCTTAATTGTGGGTGATTTTGATGCATTGCATGTAGGAGTTGTCGGTCCTTATAACAATAGAAACATGCTCATGAATACTTATAAAATGATCCTAATGTTAAACTTTATCCGGTCAGATTTTGCATTTTCAGCATTTATTTTTTCCTATTTCGATTGGTTTGACAGCATCGTTTGGTTCACTGATCGAATTTTGGCAATATGTTGTAGTTGTGTAACCTTTATGTTATAGTTTGCAGGATAGTGCATTACTAGTATCTTGAAGCATTCAGAAAAAGAGAGTGTATGGAAGCCTTCTTAGTCTATAAGATGAGCATTCTCACAAAAAACCTGAGAATCTTACAATATTGAGTTCAAATTTCTGGAGTCATTCTTTTAAAGGGGCTCTTGAGCAGAAACGGGAAATTAAGCCATGGAACTCAAATAAAATTTCTTCCGAGTTTGATGCAGCCTTGTACAGTTCCATGAAACCAAGTCTTATTTGAGTCATCCTGGATGGGCACCAATCACAGGTATTAATGTACAACCATTTTCATTCAACACATATAATACTGAAGCAAACCTTGACAAGTCACAAGTGATAATCCTCATGTTTTTATTCTTAGTTTAAGTTAAATTACTTTACATAGATAACTTCTGCATGTTCACATCAATCATAAAACTCTCCAACATATCAGCAGAGCATAGTCTCCTCAGGCTTGATGAACTTTTTCCTTCTAGCTTGATCAAGAATGGGATTCATAGAAGTGTCTTTTAGATGTAGGTCTAGTTGAGAAAACAGAGAGCTATCAGTCTTCTGTGTAGTGCAGTTGTAGCCTGTTTAAAAAGTAATAGTGGTGGAGTTAATGTCACGTTTTCTCTATTGCCCTCTGAGGGAGGGATCAAATTATGGGAGTGGGGGAGAAGCGAGAGTTTGAAGCATGACTAATTATTCTGATAGGAATTTACCCAAGTTGCATGACACTTGTTGATGTTCCATTCTTTTGTGTTTGTGGCTGGCTTAGCTGGAGATTGATTGGTGCATGTAGGTCATATCCATTGCTGATTGTATGTGTGGCCTGCACACCCCCATTTGGTGCACTTTCATATCCTTGCTCAGAAATCTGAATAGATAAGTTTTCCTTAGATCAAGGTCAAGGACATCTATGCGTGTGGTAAAAGTTTAATGTAAAATCACATTTTTGTGGTGCATACTGCATACTCAAACAACAGTTGGAGAATACTCTCTAAATTAGTACCTTCTGCAATTCTGTGTACTCTTGTCGAATAAGGTTTACCTTTTTATAGAGTTCTATATTTTCTTGATGAATAAGATTGCCCTGTAGAAGCAATATTAATCATCTTGGTGCAAAGATTAAAGACATATGGAAGTTGTTATAGTTTTTCTGGTAAGACCTTCTGATTTAGTTCTCTGATTTCATCCGTCAGAATCTGCTCCTGCAAGAAAAGAGTAATACATTTAGGATCCTTATAATAAAAAAAGGAGTAATACTTTTGGGAGAGATCGTTGACTTGATATTAGCATAAGTTTCATGAACACAGAAGAATTTAAATGTGTAGATTTTACCTTTTGCTTTCGAACGCCTTTCAAACTCATTTCAATTTGGTTTTCCAGATTTGTTAGATCTTTGGTGTTGAGTCCAGAAAGTTCTTGACCCAAAAGCTGCCTGTGGTTCATAAAAAAGGTGTTAGTTAAATTATTTCTCCCTTCAGTTTACTAAGCTTGATCTATGACAATGAAATTTACACGATTTATAGTGACTTTATAATTGCATGTTAAGCATGCTTACAACTTCGAATCATGCCCTGTAGCAAAGTAAAAGGAGATGTTCATCTTCATATTTTCAATAATTATTCTTCTCTTTTCTTGGAGTTATTCACAGTAACACATGGAAGAAAACATTGCAATTTCAAATCTTGGGTGTCATTTCCTAAGTAATTCTTGGATTTGTAAGTTTTTATATTCAGAATTTTTCCAAGTTCTTTCTTAATTGAATTAATTTATATGATATTTGAGTTTGACTAGTCTTTGCCTTTTTATTTAATCTTTTTGCATCTACATTTATAATTTATTGGTGCAGTGGTTCTTATTACTAACAATCAATCACTAGCAACCAAGCAGTAGAAAATTATTTCTCTGTTCAGAATTCTTTTGTGCACTTATAAATTTTGTATGTCCATAAATTGCTATATAGGAGTGCATCTTATGTCCTCCAAAATCAATAATCATGGCATCTTTATGTTGTTCTGTTTTCACAGCCTTTATTGCCTTGCACCATAAGTCTTTTACCAGAAACCCTGAATTACAATTATGCTTGAGAAGATTGAACCTTAGAACAACATGAATTTGGAGCATCTTTGTTGGGGTTCTGTTTTCCAATTGTTTATTTTCCCCGAACCATAAAAACTAACAAAAGAAACTTTGAGAAACCACAAGGAACTGTTTCAACAGTAAAGAAGAACCCCCTTAAATGCCTTTTGTCTTCTCATATGTGTGCCTCGGATTACAGTTAGTACCTCAAGATGGCTTTTATTTGTTTGAGGTAAGTCAAGGAAAAAAAGTGAAAGTGAAAGAGGTGATTAAATGGGATGTCTTGCATTTTCAAAGGATAGATAATAGGTCAAATGGAATCAACAATGCTATATATTTTGGCTTTTATCATACTCAAATCTTTTTTTTTTCTTTTTCTGTTTCTTCCACATTTGCCAGTAGAGTTGTACAGTAGAATACATTTTGTATTTCCAACTACCAAGTACCCTTCAGGGTGGCCCAGTGGTTTGGGGTTGGGACTTCCATGTTGGAGGTCTCAAGTTCGAAACCCCCTGCCAGCGAAAGCAAGGGGTTTGCCTTCTGGGTCGAGCTCGTCGCACCGGGCTTGCCTAGTGCGGGTTACCTCTCCTATGTGGTTTGCGAGCTATTGCATAGGAGCGGGGTTTTTACCCCGTGCGCACCCAAAGGGTAGCGGCTGCGGGTTTCCCTTGTCATAAAAATAAAATAAAATTCCAACTACCAAGTAAAATATTCTAAATAATTGTACTACTCCAACCTCTCCAAGTGTCCAAGGAACTTTACACCTTATAGAGATGCCTGCTAGATCACAAAATATTTCCAACTTACATACTTTTTGTGTGGCAATAGTTACTTCCTCAATTATGAGTGTAGCTAAAGTTTTGTCTTTGCAAAAATGTGTAATGATTCACAAAGTTGTCCTTGGGATCTAAGTTAAGCAGCTTATCAACCTCCAAAATTGAGGTCAGGGTTTGAATCATCAAGAGGAGCAAAGTAGGGAAGGGTCATTCTTGACAGTGGGAGAGGCTCGTGCTAAAAGATAATTAAAAAATATCTCCACTAAAATAGTTTACCCTTTAGATAAGGTGATTCACATAATTCAAAAAATTAAAAGGTATCAAATGCTCACCCTGTAGTGTGTAAAGGCATCATACTGCTTAATCTGTAGCTTATACAACAAAAGATCCTATGGCATCAAGGCATGTAGAAGATATACCTGTGATTTTCTTGCAAGTAATGCAGCTGCTGCCTCAGACTTGCTACTTCCCTTTGCCAAAACTAGCCAAAAAAACAAGAGAAAAAGTAGAACGAAGTTTGTTATTACTAATTTAAGTTGACGAGTGCTAGATTAGGATAATACAACAACCAAAACAACATACCCAGTGTAATCCACAAGTGGGGTTTGGGGAAGGCAGTATATACGCAGACCTTAACCCCCTACCTTTGGAGTTTGGAGGTAGAGAGGGTGTTTTTGATAGACCCTCATTTCAAGGATAAGCAAGCAGTTCAGGAAAAGAAATAATACAAGTGAAGAACCCACGACAAAATACTAAAAATAGCATGACAACATTCCGGGAAAAAGGAACAATAACTACAATATAATAATACTATAATCGAAGTACAAGAAACAACATATCGGAACAGAAATCGAAGAACAAAAAACTATAAGAGTAATACTACGACTACTAGTATGGAATAATAAGTGAGACAACGCTCAAATACCTACTCGCTTTCTACCATAATCCGTGTCCTCCATTGCCTCCTATCTAAGGCCATGTCCTCTAGTAAATGAAGTTGTGCCATGTCTTGTCTAATCACATCTCCCCAATGTTTCTTCGACCTACCTCTACCTCTCTTGAATCATTGTACTCCACCTCCATTCTTCGGTCATTTTGGCTGTCTTAAGAATGACATTAAACAACCTAGTTAGTCACTCCAAACTTGCCTTGCCCGCACTCTTCCAAAATTCCACAGAGATCTCATCTGGCCCGATTGCTCTTCCCCTTGTGCATCCTACGAATAGCACTCTTAACCTCCTCCAAATTTATGCACCTACAATACCCCAAGTTGCGACTCACGTGCTCCGAATCTCCCAGCACAATGCCTCTGTCCCTTTCTTTGTGAGTGCTAGATTATAGGATGATAGGATGAAATAAATAGAATGCTTATTAATTCAACTATTTTCCATGAATAGTGCTTGGTGATTATTACAGCCCATGATAAATTCAACTATTCAAGAAAATCATCAAAGGGTGAAACCTACTGGTCAATGTAGTGGGAAGCGGAGGCAAAAACACCAGGTGATTTTTTTTTTCATTTGTTCAAGTTTTGGTGAATAGAGTTATTTGTACTTGTGCTAGCAGGTACCCCATGAAATTAGTTGAGGTGCGTGCAAGTTGATCCGTATATCACGGTTATCATAAAAAAGTACTTTGAAATGACGAGCACCACTTTAATAGTTGAGGTCAAGTATATAAATCCTTTATTATACCTGTTTTGATTTATTCAAACCCATCTATGATTCACACTTGTGTAACTTTGGATGTTTATAAGCAAACACATTTTAAAAAATCGGATCTTGATCAGTAATCTCAATTTGAAACGAACGAAATTATGATGTCCTATCGTGAAGAAACTAATGAAAGTGTGGGGTGATTTTCATGTACCTATCAACTTTAAAGTTGAATGAGATAAGAGTGTGTTTTGGAAATGCAGTCAGGTGCACGTCTTCAAGTAACTCATTCCAATTTTAGAAGACATCAACTATAGTACAAGTGTACAGAGAAGAGGCTTAGAAGTTGGAGTGTTCCAGGGGAGATAAATCTTATAAGGTGAACTGTCTGTAAGAAATGGCTTCTAATCTTCAAGAAGCAAGAAAGGAACCTTTGTTACAACTTACAATTGCTTAACATGGATTAAAAACTAGCTTCTTACAAAATTTACATTTGAATCCTTGTTCTCTCAGTACCTTAGACATTTGGGATCTTTGTAGTTTCAACAGGCAACCTATTTTGGGGATCTGTGACTATTACTGGAAATTAGGAGTATTGACGCCCTAGGAATAACAATGTGGAAAGTGAGCAATGGAGCATATATAATGTGAGGGGATTTTCCCTTCTTATATTTGCATACTAGGAGTACTTTCCACTTGTCCCATGTGACTACTGGCCTAATGAATAGTCTTCTCCTTCCTGGATTGGGTTATCTAATCTAGTCTAGAATATCATCTGCACAATCTTTGTACCAAGTGGACCCTAGTCTTCAGGGAGAAAGAAGCCTTTGTTGTACGATTGCTAGCCTGGTTGTAGAAATAATCTCTTATCCCGCAACTTTCTCTGCATCGTTGTATGTCAGGACTGTAGACATTTTGGATCTCTTAGATTTTAATCTTACCCCTATGATAGTATGTATTACTTACACCTCTGATAGTAGATCCTATATCGAGTTAGCTGGGGTTGAGACATCCTTCAATCCACTCAAGGCATTCTTTGATAGACTAACAAACTATCCTTTGATGGATTTTTGCTAAAATATTCTCATCCGGACCTTCTCCCCAGCATTGCAGATGTCTATTGTCATTTCATTCTTCTATAAATGCAATTTAAAAGAGACATTAGATCCTGGTCTCAGACTCTGAGCGCAATGGATATATAGGATTCTGATAGCAGAAGTCAACTGATTTGAAATTAAGGCTTTGTTGGTCAACTAGATTATGGATTTAGCTTATGTGAGATAATCAGATTCTAAACTCAGGCTTATCATGGCAAAATGATGGTATTACTTTTTCTGCTTGCCCACCAAATTATCTCACCTTGCAGGCAGATTCCATTAGGTTATATTCTCTAGTCGATGCATGTGGTGGAGTACAATTAAATTGTAAAGGTGAGCATTACTGGTTTTTATAACCACCTTATTTTCCAATAACTTCATTTCAGCCATCATGACTGAATGACGGCACCAGAACTTTTGTTCTCAAAGCTAGTGTAGTATGAACTGCGGAAAAAACTAGATTGAGTACCCGTACCAGTTCTTGTCCTTAAGATTCTTAGAATATCAGTTTTCCAGTGTGCATCTGTTTGATTGGGGGGGGGGGGGTTTTTTTTTGTAATTTTGGATCTCTTAGATTTTAATCTTACCCCTATGATAGTATGTATTACTTACACCTCTGATAGTAGATCCTATATCGAGTTAGCTGGGGTTGAGACATCCTTCAATCCACTCAAGGCATTCTTTGATAGACTAACAAACTATCCTTTGATGGATTTTTGCTAAAATATTCTCATCCGGACCTTCTCCCCAGCATTGCAGATGTCTATTGTCATTTCATTCTTCTATAAATGCAATTTAAAAGAGACATTAGATCCTGGTCTCAGACTCTGAGCGCAATGGATATATAGGATTCTGATAGCAGAAGTCAACTGATTTGAAATTAAGGCTTTGTTGGTCAACTAGATTATGGATTTAGCTTATGTGAGATAATCAGATTCTAAACTCAGGCTTATCATGGCAAAATGATGGTATTACTTTTTCTGCTTGCCCACCAAATTATCTCACCTTGCAGGCAGATTCCATTAGGTTATATTCTCTAGTCGATGCATGTGGTGGAGTACAATTAAATTGTAAAGGTGAGCATTACTGGTTTTTATAACCACCTTATTTTCCAATAACTTCATTTCAGCCATCATGACTGAATGACGGCACCAGAACTTTTGTTCTCAAAGCTAGTGTAGTATGAACTGCGGAAAAAACTAGATTGAGTACCCGTACCAGTTCTTGTCCTTAAGATTCTTAGAATATCAGTTTTCCAGTGTGCATCTGTTTGATTGGGGGGGGGGGGTATTTCTTATGTATAGTTTGTTGAAACAACAGAGGCTCCATCAACCAGCATCTGTAACTCTCTGGAGATGATGACCTGAATCAAATATCTGATAAGTTAAGTGGTACATTAAGCAGATGGATTAGTATTCTATCAGGCGGAAGAGTTGACATGTATAGCTCTGTACTACTGATTGACAATGAGGGATTGGAAAAACTTCATAAAACATGTTTTCTAATTTGTAATGAGTGTGTGAGATATGTTTCAGTAGAAGGTTAACAGTCTATGATAACTATAGATGACCGCTCTAAGCGACCAACTTGGAAGAATAAGGCTATCGCCTTGACCAAGTTTAAGAACCTGACAATGAGTAGTAAGGGGGACAGGAAAAAATGGGACAACAAGATAGGCGGTGAGTTAGGGATATAAAGACACCAGGAAACAACTAACAGTAAATAAGCATGAATAAAACAGCAAAGGAAAATAACCTGAAGATAGCAGAACCATGGGAGGAAGGAGATACATGAGAGGCAGTATGAGAACAAAAGTAGGGAAGTAAGTAGAAGAGAAAAGAGTATCAACCAACACATGAAGCTCCCATTACAGGGTAGCACTGCACACCACCATAAGCATGTGAACGTCTTATCAAGGGTAGCTTTTTATTAAATTCCCAAGCAAGTAGAGAGGAAAAATGCAGCAGATAAGGCAGCAATAACATCCATCACATCAACAAAGTGTAGGAAATTTCCCCTCCTCGCCTAGTCAGGAAAGATCACAAAGACACACAAGCCAATGTTCTCTTTATCCTTTCTCAATTAACTTCCTTATTTACATTTAGTGTATCTTTTCAAAAGCTATATATTATTAACGTTTCTAACAACTCTAGTGTTGTGTTTGTTTCTTCTAGGAATTAATCACTCTCATATTCATGTCAAGGAGATATATACCAACCGTAAGTTTCGAGGAATTGACAAATCTGGTGTATACAAACTAAAACCCGGTGTAGGGCATTGTCCAATGGCAGGTGTTCCGTTGATATTTCCTGTCCACTCTTGGCACAAAAGGAAGAACACAATGAAGTAGGGTAAGGTTAGCTAAAGGATTTGATGGGGCTAAGGATGGTTCCAAAAAGAGCAGCTACTTTAGATGAATGCTACTGCGATTGCACTCTTTACTTGCATGTATGAAATTGACATTACATGTATCCTGTTCGTTTGAGACTTGTTGCTGCAAGACTGCCGTGAGCCATGATAAAGATGGGTGAACTAGAGATCAAAGGAATGAAAAGAAGCTGATAGCATAATACACGAGTAGTTTGGGCCAAGAATAACCTTGATCATCATGAGAACTTTCCTGACCATCCCTAAATCCCAATGAAAGCCTTTAATTGGGGCTTTGCTGGAAAAACCTGCTTAAAAAACCTTATGTTGTTCTTGAGGAAAGCTATATGGACATGTGTGAAGACCAAGAGCGATTATTCACTTCTCTTCTTCCATGGTCCAAGTGTGGGATAAATTGATTCTCCATTTGTATTTAGATTTTTGTCTTTGTATTTTCTCAATTCCAAACCCTTTTTTTAAGTCCTACCTTGAAAGGAACATACAATGAGATCGTACCTGGATAGAGATGGTGGTCTTACTCTGATGTCTCCAAGCTGGCCATAATAGAATAGCTAGGTGAAGCAGTCGATAGATAGCAGGTTGCTTACAAACTCAACCATTTTAAACACAATTGCTACTTTTTTCTTGTCATTGACTGAGTGGTAGTTTTCGTCCCTGTCAAATAAAGATGACTCCTAGAGAGTTACCAAAATATGAAGTTCTCTTCTTTCTTTTTGATACTTGGTTGACAGGGCCTTTCCCAGTGAGCGCATTCAATTCTAAAGTCCATTTCTTATTATTAGAAGCAATATAGTGGCTGCCTTTGAGGAAAAGATACTTGCTCTTGGTGTTAGCATAAATATGGAAGTCAATTAACTGGGGTTGGGGGAGCATTTGGTGACAAATTGATGTGAGAATACATAATGGTAAGTTAAGTGATAAAAATTACCAAGTAGTAAGTTACATGACAAAAAATTGTATAAAGAAAAATATACACGCTGTGTGAGTAAGCTCTCATTTGTTTTCACTTCGTCTCAATTTGAAGCCTTCAGAGCTTAGGTTGTTAAGTGCGCTTGTCTATATTGAAATTTTAACACTTGGTGGAAATATATTTTAATCATTAAGATGTTTAATAGTAAAGTTTAAATATCACTATGAGACATTTTTGTGTGGATACTTTGCACCATTACTCTATCCTCAATCACTAGTAACCACCTTTGTCATCATCATCATTGTTAACTATCAATGTCGTTGTCAATCACTAACCGTCTCTGTCATCACAACTACTGGTAACCACTATTATTATTGTCAGTTGCTACCACACTTACCACATGTATCATTATAATTATATTCACTGCCCCTATCACCGTTATTGTTGCCGCCACCACTACTACTATCAACATGCCACTATTGCGACCAATTTTTATTACTAACCACCTCCACTACCATAACTAGCACCAGCTACACCACTGTTAGCTAACCACCAATATATTGTCAACCACCACATATTCTTTAGCCATCACTATCAACACCACCAACTACTAACAATCACAACTATCACCATGAACTGTTACCATCATGTCAACAATTCGAGAACAACTCCTAAGTCAATTAAGGATAAAATGTTGGAAACTTATTGGTAAGGAATTGATAGAGAAATTTATAAACCCAAATAGAATAGAAAAATTGTCTGGAAAAATTATGATGATAAAGATCATAATGAAAACTATAACATCAACCATTGTCATCATTACTAGTCACTAATATCCGCAACGACTACAAACCATTTACATCATTACCAGGAACATAAATGTAACAATCTTTTTTTATTAAATTTATAGCATTTTATAGTTAATTACTTATTCTGTTGAATTGTACATTTATTATGCTTACCAATAAATAATTTATGCATAAGAAAAATAAACAGTTATATATTGTGATTTGGTATTAAAATCTACCGATATCTTAATTATTCAGATATTCATTTTATTTCAAACATTTTAATCTTAATAAAATCAAGTAACACTCAATCTTTTGACATGAATATAAGAATTAAGAACCAATCAACTACAGTATAATCAATACACTTATCGAGTAAAAGTACTGTAAAGTTACATGAGAGCATGCAGTCCCCCATTTTTTCAAGATTACATAAAAATATGATCAGTCGACTTTAGCCATAGATTTTAGTTTTAAAATTTGCAATACTTTTTTGGAAATTATTTCAAATGAGCATTTGTTTATCAAATTAGCTCAATATTTCACCATTAATTAATTATAAAAATTTGAAAAATAGATGTTAGGAGTTTTTCAAGTTTTGACTCCTAACAGAATTACTAATATGCTTTCATGTTCAAATATAACATCAACTTTCAAATAACCCTTTTTTAAGCTTAATTTCAAAACTATGTTTCATCAAAATATCATTTAATTCATATCCAAACACCTACTTAGTTTGAGATAAATATCTACTCGAACATTATATTAATGAGTTATAACTCCGTACACTTATTAGTTGTGATGTACATAAATTGATAAGATATCATAGATTATAAGAAAAAATACATATCCCACATTGGATATACAAGTTCATGTAATTAAAAGGGTTTTAGAATAGCATAAATAAAAAGAACATATTATCCATATATATATACAAGGACATCCAAAAGGTATTAACATACACTTTGTGGAAACAAAAATCAGGTTACCTTGACCTCTGACATGGGATTCATGTTATTATTCTCCTCCTTTATCTTGTTGTATCTATCAATTGTAGACCTCATGCTGATAACAATACGAAAAATATAACTGTGTCAACATCTAAAATTCTATACATTAACATTATCAATTAAAAAGTTACACTATTCAGTCACTCAAAAGATAATTATCGGTGCCTATTGTCTTTAATATAAGTAAGATTAATAACTTGAAAAATAAAAGTGTTTCACTAGCTAAAATGCATCGCAATTCGCGCATATAGTCAGTTGTATTTCGTATTGTTCCATCAAACAGAATTCTATTTGGGCAAATTGAAGCAAAATATACACATAAACAAAGTCACGCACAAAAAATAAGATATTTGATCATGCATGCGTCTAAAGAAGCTGGGTTATGTAGAAAGGTACTGTCGTAAAAGTATTATCTATGGAAATCTCTTTATATAACATGTTTGTATATCACTATTTTTCCATTAAAAAATTTCAGTGAAACATTAAGTGGATATTCTCAACGATATTTTGATACAATCAGTGAAAAAAAGAAAAAATAATAGTGTTTTCACACAGAAAAAATATGAAGTATGGAATTTGTTTCCTATCATGCTTTTCCAGTCTTAAGTGAAAATTATGTTTTATAACACAAATTTCATATTGATTTGCGTTAGAAAAAACTTTTGTTTGTAGTAAGTATATATTCATTGATGTATATATCTATGCAGAGGCGAATATAAGATTTCTAGATCATGAGTGCACCACTTAAAACGGAATTTTTTTTTTGTATTAAGCGGGAATTGATTCTTAGTCCTAGGGGAATCTTAGTAGCTCATATTGATTACCTGAACTCCCACCTTATTGGTGAGAGTTCTATTCCTCATATCGTAATCCCTTGCTCCTTCCCTACCCACATTTTTTTAAAATAAAAATAAAAATTTAGTCCTAGGTAAAGAGCATAACATCTAACCAAGTGCACCACTTAGCTTTTTTATAGTATGAGTATCGACTGATAATATTATATTAGACTAATTTTTAAAAATATATATATCAATATCTACTTTCAAAAAGAGATCATGAATTTACGTGCCTCAGTATATATTCGCTACTGTATCTACAATTATACTTATACAAGGTAGAATTTTCACAACTTATTATAGCTCGTAAATTTTCTTATTCGATTAATACTACATGCATGTTGTTCCTCCCGTCTAATTTTCAACACCAGTTTCGTGCATATATGTATGATAATCAATCAAAATATATACTGCTGGCAAACAATAAATTAAGTTGGATGTAATATTTGAGTTTTAGATCGATTATCGTAGGATGCACTTACAAATATGCACGTGGAATCCTTGATGCAGGACCACGGTACAAAGTACAAATCAAACTTTGGTATAATTTTAAATGGAAAGGTACCAAGTTGGCAATATTTTAACCAAAAATAATAGTAATAAAATTTAAAATGAAATACTCAAAAGAGGAAGTATGTTGGAAATGAATAAGTAAACCTGTTGTTGGCAAATTCATAGAGTTTTCCGGTGCTTGAGAAAACAATGAGTCCAACTTGAGCATCGCAAAGAATTGCAAGCTCTTTAGCCTTTTTGAGAAGTCCATTTCTTCTCTTCGAGAAAGTAACTTGCCTGCTTGTTGTATTATCAATTCTTTGTATCACTATTTTTCCTCGACCCATCTCTTCTTGATTAAATGCTACTATAACAATAACAGTATAATTTTCATTAATGAAAACCATCACAAGAAAATAATCTCGTGCGAAAATTAGTAAACATTATGAACTATCAAGCCAAATACAAGATTAAAATACATCCATAGTTGATTTTACAAATCCAATTAAAATAGAAAATTGATAAAAGAAAAGGAGAATGAATATATCAAAGCAAAGAATAATATATAGCTTATTAATTTTGAGCAAAAATTAATAAGATTTGGTGGAGTTTCCATTAAAAAAATAATAATAATTATGTTTAGGGTTTTTGACTTTGCTTCTCTCCTTTGCTAGATCAAATCAAAAGGGATTACAAAGAGCTAAAATTAAAATGAATCAAGAACTTGAAAATAATTCTTGAATATGAACAAATTAGAGTAGTACTAGTACTAATCATCAATAATTAAAATTAGAAAGTTTTATGAACAATCAATAACCACAAAAATGGAAATAATACATATGAATTTGAGAAAAAAAAGACAAAAATTAAAAGAAAAACTTACTAATTTGAGAGATTTTGATAGTAGACTGATTCTACAGAGAGAGAGAAGAGAAGAGAAAATACTGGTTTAGTGAAAAAAATAATCTGTTAATTAAAGCTTTAAAATGGAAAGCTTAAGCTATGGTGGTATTTAGAGAGAAACCAGCAGCTTGTTTTGTTCACTAAACCACTTACCAGATATTTTACCTCCCCTACTCGCGCGAGTACTGAATAAATAGCCTCACTCGCTGACACCTGTCTAGAAATATCAATACAACTGCGTTAACGACTAATAGTACGGGTTTAAGATTCGCTGTATTTACGGATTTGCCATTTAGGGACAGATGTTGGGACAACAGCAGGGCGAGTATGCTAAGTTCCGTAATTGAGAAAGTGGGTTTTTGAGAATATCCTCGGACTTTCAGAAGCGGTTTTTCATTGAAGAAAATGTTTTTTTTCAAAATTTTGAGATCGTTCAACAAATAGCTGACTGACACGTTTCGATCTGTCAATGGCTTTTCGCCAATTTAGTGGGGACTTTATTTGTCATTTTTTAATTTTTTGTGACACTTTTTAGAGAAATTTTTATGGTCTAAAATAAGTCATAATATAATGAGCAACTTTCACATGTAACAAACATAAAAATCATATTTGTATGTTATAACTATAGTTTGCATAATTGCGCTTCATAGCAAACATAAATATGTATTTTTCGCTATACATATACAAAAAAAAACAGTTATATAATTTAGCTATACATATACAAAACTGCTTTGGTATACATATACAAAAGATCAATTGTATAATCTGTGTTTATATAAAGCGAGAAAGACAAAAGAAAATTGGGCAGGGGAAGATCGTATTTGTATAATCATAAGTGTATAGGACGAAAATATATGTATTTGTATTTGTATATACAATTTTCTCTCGCTTTATACAAACACAAACACAATGTATACATTTGTGTTTGTATAAAGTGAGAGAGGCGAGTGAGCGAGCGAGATCTGGGAGAGTGGCGAGCGAGATCTGGGAGAGGGGAACGAAAATATATGTATATATACAATTTTCTCTCGCTTTATACAAACACAAACACAATGTATACATTTGTGTTTGTATAAAGTGAGAGAGGCGAGTGAGCGAGCGAGATCTGGGAGAGTGGCGAGCGAGATCTGGGAGAGGGGAGAGAGGGGAACGAAAATATATGTATATATACAATTTTCTCTCGCTTTATACAAACACAAACGCATTTTATACATTTGCGTTTGTATAAAAGGCGAGAGAGGCGAGGGAGAGAACAAGAGTGGCGAGCGAGATTCACCAGGAGAGGCGAAATAGCAACAGTTTGCTATGGGGTATAATTAAATCAAACTATATTTATAGCATTTAATTTGAATTAATAGTTTGCTATTATATACAATTTTCCCTAATATAATCGTGGATAAAACAAGTATTTGTCAAATAAATTATTAATAGATATAAAAATATTTTATTCTTTTAAAAATTGACTAAAAAAGAACAAAATCATGTAACTTGGAATAGAGGAAATATTAACTATACTAAAGTACTCTCTCAGTTTCTATTTCCTTGTCAAATATTTTCTAATTAGATGTCTCTTTTTACTTGTCATATTTGACAAATTAAGAAAGTATAGTTTATTTTTTTCTATTATATACTGAATTATTAACATTGAGTTAATAGTTTTGAAAAATATAGTAAGTAAGTAAATATATTTGGGATCCTATCAAGTAATAGTGGTAAAATGATAAATTTACTATACTAATCAATGTTTTTTTAGGTATGTCAAGTTGAAATTTGACGAGGAAAAGGCAGAAGGAGTATAAGGAGACTTGACTTCTTAGGCCACTGTAATTCTTTTTTTCTTTTCTTTTTTGCGTTTATGTCATTTTTAGAGTGATTTTGATTTTTGCATATAAGGATCTTTAATTTTATACACAATACATTTTTATTTTTACATATAAGTGATTAAAAAAATTATTTTATAAATAATTAAGAGATTTTATTTCCTCTAAATTATCCTTATTATTATTTCTTGTTACCATATTAATTTATCTCCATGTTTATTAAATAAATGGAAAAATGCAAAAAAAAAGAAAGTAGTAATAATTAATTATATCTTATATTTATAAAATAACAATTAAATCATTACTTACTGAGCACACATGAAGGAAGTGCCTTTTAATACTACTTTGCTGTAGTATGTCCAAACTTTATTGATACCCAAATCTTTTTTAAAATTGACTAACCATTTGGTATCTTTTCTTGATTAGTAACTTCTTTAACCTTTTTCCATCTCTCTTTTAGGAAAAAAAAATCCAAGTAGAGAAGACAAAAATCTACTGTTACAATTCGGTCCCAACAAACATCACTTTCTCCCGTTTATATTATTTGTCTTTTAAGATTTTCGTACAGTTAATTATTATTATCTAAGAAATTTTAGGTTATTTATTAGAGTAATGATACTTTTTTTAGAGGGTAGTTATTAGTGCTTTCTTGATTTTCTACAACTTATTTTGGATCAAATTTGAAAGGGTAAAAATACATTTAGAATGACAACTTTTATATATATATATTGTAACTTGTTGAGGTGAACTCTGAATTAGCTAAGGTTGATAGGCATAAGTGAACCATGGAAATCTATCGTTGTTAACCGAACTTATTTCTAATTGGTCTTTTATATTACTTTCTCCTTCTTAAATTATCTGACGTAGATTTTATAAATAGTCATCTCAATTATGACACGTGCATAAAGATTATAACTCAAGACATAAATAAAGATTAGATATATAGTCAAAACTCATTATAATTAAGATTTTCTTAAGAGACGTGTAAAAGAGAAATACGACAGATAATTTGAGACGGAGTGAATAAGACTTAGTACAAACCACATGTGGTCTTGTATTTATCTATCCAATAATGCTTAATAAATAATTAAGTTTTCAATTTCTGTTTAATTTTAGCCTTTATAATTATTATTTTAATTATTATATTACAAGTCTGACGAAAAGTTGTTGGAATGAAGGAAAAGCCCAGACACGGAATTGACACGGATTGGAGTAAATATTTTAGTTATGGACGTGATATATATATATATATAAAGAAACTTAGGGCCATCTCCGTGGCGCCACCACAAACTAGAATTCCCTGTTAATTTATTTATTTTCAAAACTAGTCTTCCTCTTTCATGAAAAATTGTGATTTTAATGAAGAGTTGCGACTTTTATGAAAAGTTGCGATTTTTATGAAATGTTGAGACTTTTATGAAAAGTTGTGACTTTTATGAAAGGTTGTAAACTTTTCGATGGGTTGCAACGTTTTCAAATAGTTGTAGCCTTTCTGATAAGGCACAATAAACATTTGTTCAAACAACGAAAATTCTGAACCTCTTCTTCTTCTTCACCATTAAATATTTGTGTACTTTGCCCCTGTTGAGTGGTTCACTGACACCATTGCTTATGTTACAAATCCTGGTATATATTTTAACAATCATTAATTTATGCTTATGTTATTAAGGATAAATGAAAAGACGTAAAAAAATTCATTTTCCTTTACATTATTAATGTTTGTTACTACGTAATCTTGTATGTAAGATAATATAGAGTTTTAGTTTTAATGCCTGATAGACTTTAAGTATTATTTTATAAATTTTGTGATATTAATTTCTCGTGCGAAGCACAGATAATTTTACTAGTTATTAATAAAAAAAACTATATAATAGTCAAGATATGCATCGATAGAAAACAACATAGCCATCTTCTTCTTCTTTTTCGAATTCAACTTATAAACTATAATTTGCCAACAATATTCTTTGCAATTAATCCATGATCAATTGTTCTTTGTAATTAAACTGTAAAATACCAACAGTGTTCTTTGCAATTAATCCATGACCAGTTATCCTTTTTGAGTAAAGAATTAAGCATTTTAGAAATTTGGACATTATATGAAATCTGATTAATATAAATTTAGACATAATTTGAAATGATGATTTCTAATCATTATTTAGATCTGTGATTTGAGATTCTGAGTTCATATGTTGTGAACAAGCTGACTTCATATAGGTCTATGAGCTAAAAATGGTGAATGAGATTGATTTAGTTCTAATTATTGGGCCGAAAAAATTATTTCACATTTTCCACTATTTAATAAGTACGAAGAGTAATTAATGTGGTAAAAGAGACAGTATACATATGAGTATAAATAGAGATTGTTTTAGTTAATATTTATTTAGGGCGCATAAAAAATATGACAAATAAAATGAATCAGAGGGAATACGATAATATAGACAACCATAACTTATGAATTTATATTTTTAATCTGACAAAGTATAAATTTTCAAATTAAACTTAATTCTACAATATCGCATCTCATCCCATCAACCAAACAGTCCCTAATTTTTTTCAGGCCATTTTTGTTTTAAAAATTAAGTTGGAACTCTAATTTTTTTGTCAAATAAAATTAGTATTAGTCAAATAATGGAGTACTAACGATGTATTTTCTTATTACTTTTTTAAATGTAATGACTAAAGAAATTTGGCTATAGCGCTATATTATTTTTTTTGCCAAACAATGAAGCTGTAACTGTATACTTATTTTCTTTATTAGATACAATTATTTGTTCCAATTGTTTAATTGTTTTTTCAACACAAGCTGAGGAAAATAATACTTTGGTTAGAGTTTCATTATTGTCAATTAAATAAAAAAAAATAGCAAGAATATACGAATTGAAATTCCAATCATGTAATTATATCTTCTGTAGATGCAATGATGATCTGTTTTAATTCTGTATTTCCTTTTTAACCAAATTTATTTAAAAAGTTTGTAAACTTCATATTTTTAACCAAATAAAAATTAGTGGAAATTCTAGCTAATTTTTTTTTTTAAAAATTGACCGAAAAAGATGATTTGAAAATTAATGAATTCAAATTGATATATATATATATATATATATATATATATATCTAAAGTTTTTTTAAAAATTGACCGAAAAAGATGATTTGAAAATTAATGAATTCAAATTGATATATATATATATATATATATATATAAAACTACGGACAAGTGTCACTCCCTTTAGAGTGAGATCGTCCAAGGGTATAAAAA